CTAAAATTAAACCCTTAATATCTCATTTTTTTCTCCACTCTTTCCCATTTTACCCTTACTCTTTCTTGGGAATTTCACATTTGCCTTTTAGTTATATGCAAATACACCCCCCCATTTAAACTATTCTTCATGCAATTTCCTTGCATTTCACTCCCCACTTTTCCTGCTAATTAGGGGTAGAACGGTCATTGCGCCCCAAAAGAAGAATTCTCTAGAAACTCAATACACATTTTGTTAGGCTCTTCGCCACGATGAAGACTATTTCTTCGCCCCAACGAAACATCACAAAACCTACACCAAGGGTTGCAGGACCTCATCGCCGCGGTGAAGATTCTTCTTCGCCTTGGCGAAGTCTGCAACACCAAAATTTCACCAAGTCTCTACAATTTCAGGGCAATCACTCAACTAAACCAATACATCCATTCAACCAAGGGCCAACCAAGCCATATTAACAATATTCCAATTCAAATGAGAGGAAAATAAGAAACATTAGCTACGTACCTCGAGTGGGGCGTTACAAAAACCCAATTCTAAACCATTCTCAACCTACACATGCCTCCCCTAAATTTTTTTTCAAAGCCCATAAGATACGAATCCAATATTTTGAACTAATTAATAATTCTACAAAGAAACTAAACTAAGAATTGTATTGAAGGCTTTCTTTCCAGCCACTTTTCATATAATTTATATAAGGATTACAATCACTAATGATAAATATACAAGAGATTATGATGACAATTGCCTAGTTAATAGCAAATGATAATAATTATCAAAATATTACTATGATAATTGCTTAACATATTATGATAGAAACCTACTCCAACAACTTAAATAATTGGTTTGGGCCATGAGTCTTTCATGGGCTTGAGTAGAACTCTCCTTAGAAAATCGGCTTGCCAAGAGAGGGTGCCCAAGCCTTTATAACCCACATGCCTACCATTTTCCCTTCCAATGTAGGATCCCAACATTCCACTACGCTTCTGCAACCGACGTTCACGTCGGTCTCTTTACCCTTTAGGTGACTATGCAGATCCCCCTTTCCCTTGGCCTCCATGCCCTTTCTCGTGGTAGTAGCCCGGGCCCAAGGTCAGCATGCCACGTGGCAGCGCATGCATGGGCCCACCCTTTTCCCATACAATGTGGGATCCTAACATTTCACCACGCTTTCGCAACCAACGTTCACATTAGACTCTTTATCTGTGTCGGCCTCTTTACCCCTTGGGTGACTACGCGAATCCTCTTTTCCTCGGGCCTTCATACCCTTTCTCAGGGTAGCAGCCCGGGCCCAAGGTCAGCTTGCCACGAGTCAGCCTACCACGCGTGCGCTGCCATGTAGGCACAAGATCATGCTTTGATACCAATTGATAGGAAACCACTCCAACAACTTAAACAATTGGGTTAGGCCATGGGTCTTTCATGAGCTTGGGTAGAACTCTCCTTGGAAAACTGGCTTGCCAAGGGAGGGCGCCCAAGCTTTATAACCCACATGCCTACCCTTTTGCCTTCCAATGTGGGATCCTAACAGATTATGAGATCAGAGACTAGATTAGCATAAAAACTAAATATAATCTAAATGGAAAATCGACTTTAATGCTAAGTTGGAGACTTATTTTAAGTTGGCAGGTAGACTCACATCACCATATTCTTGGGAACCAGACAGAGAAACCACAACAACTAGTTGTTGAACTCAATGGTACAAGAACTTGACATGATCACAGTACAAAGCCGAGACCCAAGAGACATGCAAGAGGTTCTTATGGTGGGTCAATGTTAGAGTAGGTGCCCTAGAGCCAATCAATTATTGTAAAATTGACTCTTTGTAATAATGTTCATTAATCAATAAAAGACATTTTATTCTTTATCATATAAATCATATTGATATGTATTGATATATATCCTTAGGATGGTAAAACCGTGACGAAGGTATCAAGTGTTTCAAATCTTGATAGTGAGAACCCTATGATCACATATGATGGTCATTCTAGAAATATTCGTAGCCCTAGTATTATTCTGACCAAGGACACAGATAATACGGTAAAATTATCATAGTGTTGAATGACCCTATAGAAAGGCAGTGACTGATCTCACTTGTCAAGGTTGTTTACCGACAACCTAGTACAACATATAGGTGCTTGCTGTAGGCAAGTTCAAATTCACTAGACTAACCCACCAGAGGATTCCATATGGATCGTAACCCCAGTGTCTAGGGAACAAATCGTCTAACGAATGGTGGTGCATATGATCCTTAGACTTGAGATCACTGGAACTCCTTATGTACTGATTGGTGTAGTTTGACATTAGCCTAACACAGTTCTATTCAAAGCTGTCAATACAGTAGTGATTGACTGCATCGATGAATGTATCAAGACTATGGTGGACAACAAATGATTCATCACTCTTGGGTACGAGAGAAGTTACCTCATTGCATAGTTCAATAAATGACAATGACACTAAATCTGTGGCCACAGTGGGATTGAGTTGTTGCTCAATCCAATTTATTATTTTGGTCATTGGTCTAGTAACTGAATACAAAGGTATTGCTGAGGTTGACACTATTTCTGTACCTCAGTCTCGATGAGATAACAGATGATGAAAGGATTTGATTACATAGTAATCATATCGTTGATAGGTAGCTATTGCGCTGAATCTAAATCTATCAGGTGGCCATGATCCTTGCTAGGGGCCAATCTTGGTCTGTGTGTAGTGAGACGATTAATTGGTATTAATCGCGATACTACATACTACTAGTATGATGAGGAGCCTATGGTCACACATTTAAAAGATAATTTAAGAATCGTTTTGTTCAAGGGGTATTTTCATATTTTAGGACGAAAATGTATTTTGGTACTCTCACAGTACAATTAAATTTGCTGAGGTTATTGTTTGTATTTAATTTAATGTTAAAATTAAATTAGTAAGGTTATATTTAAATATATATATGCATATATTTAAATGAATTATTATTATTAATTAAATGTTAATATATTTTATGAATATATTAATTGATTTTTAGTTATAATAATAATTAATTAAAAATAAAATACCATAACAAGGGAGGATTAGGGTTGGAGCCCATGCCTATTCCTTATAGAAATAGGGTTTTAGCACATGCACTATATAAGTGCATGTGTGTTAAAGAAAAATTTTGTTCATTCATTATTAAAAGAAAAGAGGCGGCCCTTTTACTCTCACCCTCTCATGTTTCCCTTTGTGTGTGAATCAAAGATTTTATTTGATTCAAGTTGTTTCTTGAAGCCATTAAGTGGATCTAACAAATCTCTCTTTGGTTCTTCAGATTGTCTTCGTGTGGATCACCGTTCGTTCGGTTCTACGTTGAATCGGTAGTGAAGTAAATTCAGAGACATTTGAAGGAGCCTCCAAACGTGTGTAAGATCTCTGATCCCTGTTTGGATTGATATTATTTTGTGTAGAATTTTGGTTTAACATGTAAACTATATAATCTATACCCGAATCTTGGCATAAAAGAAATCGATTCATCCTTTTGATTTTTGTTTTTCCGTTGTGTTGGGTAGATCAATTCCTAACATTCAAGACTATGGTGAGATGGTGAGTTAGGTGAGTTAGGCTGGCGTACTTAGGGATAAATCATTGTCAATTGAAGGGTTCTCATCAGCTTCTTCTTCAAGTTCAATTGGAAATGGTAAAAGTAGAGATAATGAAGAAATGTAGAAGTTGGTAGATAGAATGAGTGTTTTAAAACCCGACCCAGCTCAACCGATTCAACTGAGACCCGGGACCTTCTTCAGGTTGGGTTATCAATTTTGACTGTTTACGACAAACCTTAAAGATTAGGGAGATGACCAACAAACAATTGGTGGCTGAGATGTTGGAGGTTTTGAAGAGGAAGGGTTAGTGAGTCAAAAGGTGGTGACGAAGGTGATTTATGGTGAGTGAAATGACTAAAAATCGTAAAAATCGATTCACGGCAACTACGGGCTGTTGCCGGCGATTGGTGAGGCAAATGGGGGTGGGGTGAGATGAGTTTTGGTCAAGAGGCTGAGAGAAGAGTATTTGCGGTGACGTGGTGTGTTGTCGATGTCGGAAACAAGCCCTATTTGGCCTGGGTTGTCGATGTTGGCGGTGTAATTTAGGGTGTTTTTGCAAGATTTCAAACTTGTGGGGGACTATGTGTAATTTTTAGGAGTATTTTTGCTGGATTTTAAACCTTTGGACACGTTGCTCGCTTCAATCGGTCAATCCGGGACCCGACCACTTTGCGGGGTTTCACCCCGAGCCGGGTTTTAAAACCTTGGATAAAACTATAAATGCTACTATAGCTCTTGTTGCTGGAACTTTTTCCATCACTAAGTTGCTTATTGTTGATCAAGATTGTTGGCATGCTTTTCAATTATAGAAGATAAATTTTCCGATTCTATCTAGTGAACCGACAGATTTTGTTTGAGTTGAGTTGTAAAGGATGGGATTAGTTTGGATTATTCAGGATTAATCTGATATTAATTTAGAGGTTTTTATATAATTTTTAAGTAATTGTGGATTAAATTTGATTAATTTAGTATCAATTTATAATACTTTGATTGACTAAGATTTTGATTAAATTTAAACAAACGATAGGCTAATATATTGATGAATGAGGGTAACATAAGTATTTTATTTTTCAAAGCCAGTCAACCTTCTATTTAAGATAAACGGAGAGTAACAAGAGATGGAGAATTGATTAACGGAGACTAATGATGGGTAGAAAATTGACGGTTTTCAGACACAAAAGATAGGGTTGGGAAAATGTAATTTGTCCGTGAAAATAATAACGTGGCATTTTGGTTAATTTAAGAGAGCAAGTGATTAGATAGGTAATACAAATTGAGAATGTGTTAAATTCCAAAAGACACCAAATAGGGTTTTTCGGCCTAGTCAATTATTAAAGCATTTTCAGTGATATGCAAATAGTGCTGCACACAAAACCTGCTTCAGTGACCATCCACATAAAAGAATATACAATGATGATGACAATTACAGTAAGATTCAGAGTGACAAAGCATGATGAACTGGGTTTGACTTTTTATCAAGTATTTTCTACATACAGCATGGTGAATTATCTACTCTCTTGTGGAAAACCTGGTACAAGTGTATTATGATTCATACTTACGAATACGATATTGACAAAACTTACAATTAAGATACTACCCACACTGAAAATTCTCCCTCTCCACAGATAATTTGATACTCTTCCATCTCCAACTTCAAGAGTTAGGTATTGGTCAATCCCTTATGATTGATTCATCCTGTATTAGTTAGTATCCTTCTGTCAATTACTATGTCAACAACCATAATACAAAGATTTAAACTAAATACCCAACTTCTAGAGCAAAATTAAGAATCTTAAATCAAGACTGTCCACATAAGAGAGCCTGATTACAAGAAATGACAGCGATTTCTGCAGGACACACTGTTTTTTGTGTATGTGCATGTATTTAATTGTGCTTCTAATGAACTTGATAACACATTCTCTTGGTTTAACGGTGTTTTGTTCACATTTTTCTTCTATTGAAAATCAATATCCAGACTCCTATTCTGACAGAAAGTTTCAGTTTGAATCAACCAACAAATTGGTGCCAAAGAGTAAAAGAAGGATTCTGTAGGAAGAGTATATACCTCAACTCAAGCTTCACTTCCCTCTGGCAATGTAATCAAACGTGTCTTTGCATCGAAAACCAAAGAGGTCCCGCAGCTGAAGCATAATATTACTTGTTATAACAGCTAAAAGTGCAAAGATATGTAAGTGAATGTAATTACTAATTAGAGAAATAAGATTAAACTTACTTTGAGCACTTAACACTATTGCTGGTTCCACCACTAGAAACTGATAGTATGGTTCCGAAAAAAGAGAGATTCTCTGTGCCACAGTTAGGACAGGGTCCCTAGAATATAAAGTTATGCATTAGCAATACAGTTCAAGAAAACGTGGTTGTTCGATATAGACTTACAAGAGATGTTTAACTAGATTTCTACCTTCAAGATCAAGAAATCTTTCACAATCAATTTTGTAAGTGATTGAGCTAAATAAACGATGAGAGGCACCGCGGCGAACCATGTAAAAATGAAACTGAATGGCTCTGGTAGCTGCAAGATAATTATTTAAAAACAAAAGAGCATATGATTATTAGTTGTACCCAAGAAGCAATAAGCACTGGGTATATAAGGATTTTATTTAAAGGTATATATTCATGTCATGGATTTGGAAATTTTAGACCATGGTTATATCCAGTTCTAATGGCAAGCCTTGAGCTAATTCAACACTTACTTTATTGCCATTAGTATAGAACTATTCCAGACAGTTTACAACAATTCATGAATAGAATAGTGAAGTTGTAGACACTTCTCTTCCAAATATTGTTGTACCATTGAAAGTATAGACATATTGAGCTCGAAAGCAAAGTTCAATTTGGTGATCAGATTATTGAAGAGCAAAAGAATTATGGGAAAATTCAGCAATACCGTAACACAAAATTGCATCTACAGAATTTCCTTCTCGTTGAGTTAAAATAAGAAAGAACAATATTAAAATTTTACCTCCAAAAGATATGTGATTTCAAATCCAGTCAGATCATCCAGGAAGAAAAACCTGACAGGGTAACAAATAAAATTGAATTATTGTTAAAACTACCATCATCTAATGTTAACCAGCATAAATCCAAGCAAAGAAATGATACTTACAATCCTAGAGCAACAACGGTGGCTGGCACATTCAACAGTAACATTTTGAGATAGTCAACTGTCAGGTCACTATACACCTATAGAAGAAAGTTGATCAGTAAAAATTAAACGAATCCCCTTTGAAGATGATGAGTTATCAGAAAAGCAGAAAACCCCAAATAAAAAAAAATTAATAATAATGTTACCGAACTCCAAAAAGAAGAAATTATCAGTTTCTTTTGCAGTGTAAAAGGAATTTATTGAAATGAGAAAACGCCCGTGATATTTTGTAGATAACTACAGCTTACACAAGCAATGGTCAATATTGCTGCCAATAAGTAGATGAAATGATACTAATGATAATTTAAGGTAAAATCATAAGAAATATAGCTTACTTTAGAGACTACCGAAGCAAAATTATTACCAGGTGACATGTGATAATGATTAAACATAATGTCTTTTTTCTTATAATTATTTCCACATGCAACATAATTTTCATTAATAATGGATTCATATATATTGATAAAGTGATATATAGACTTTGCACATATGGCCTGTAGATTTGTACAGAGAACTAAATTTTGAGTTAAAGGCTAAAATTTATATCAAGAAAGGAGACAGAATTTTAGCTCATCATACTGGAAAGAATTAGTAAAGACACAATAAATTTTGTGTTTTATCTATGCAAAATTCAGAGCTGCACACATAAGAGAAGGAGCCAAACAGAAACCCACCTTTCTACTACGGAGACTGCATCTTGGACCCTCAGCTACAATTTCACTTCCTTCCATCTAGAATATAATTATAGTCAAAGTAAATAGTATTAGAGAGACATTTAGCAACAAACAAGCACAATGTAACAATCTTAACTGATACACCAATATTTTTTTGTTAAGAAACTTCTGAAAAGATCTGACACAACTAAGAAGTAAAGAGCAAGTGACTGAAAATGAAACAAACACAAATGAACCTTCAGCCTTATCTTCAGTTGATCAAACTCTTCATCGGACATGATAGGTTTCCCTGATACATAAGCCATTGAAGCTTCCAAGAACTTCTGCTCATCGGAGCCTGCATTGTTAAAATAAACCAAATCAAATCTCCAAAGATAACAAGGATTAAAGATTTATGTCATGAACATATAGGTTGAGGCTCTATATAAAGATTTAGTCCGTACTTAGCATGACAACGCTGCTTCCTTCCCACATTAGTTCTTCCTTAAGTATATCAAATTCCTCATTTGACATTATTGCTTTTCCTTCATAGTAAAAAGCCTGTACAAGCAATCAGAAACAAATTTGCTCTCGCTTATAAATAATAATAGTCAGACCAAATCTATTTCAACTTCAAGAGCAAAAGAAGCTATAACTTGGATAAAAAATTTAAATATATCTAGATCAGAGGTCAAAACAAAGAAATTCTTCTAATTTCTCTTTGGTAGAATCATCATATATAAGAAAGATGAAAAGCATGAAAGAGACGGTGAAAAAGAAAAATAAATAGTATGTCTTAATTCCGTACTTGTAGTGCCTGGAGAAACTCTTGTTCCATTTCACCCAATGACTTCTTCTCCTGTTTCTTGTCCAGGCTACAATATGGCAGAATTTTACCATCAACAACCTCATCCTCTTCAACCTGGCCTGAAAAGAAAACTTAATCAGTACAAGGTCTTCCCCATGGCAAACAAGAAAAATGAGAACATACATTCAGAACAAATTTTTAAAAGGAAACCAATAAGCAAAGAAGTCACAACTAAACATTAAGAGGATCGCAACGGATTCTGATTTCAATATTTCTTTCATAATGGATGTTTATTTTCAAGTACTTAAAGCAGGAGAGGGGATGTCTGGAAGCCTTCCAACTATTAAGAATCAACCATACATATTACAACTATTAACAATCAACCATACATATAGTCTCCAACTTGCTTCAGTGTTTCCCTTATATTAAATATGTAGCCCTTATGAACGGAATTTGAAGGCTGTACTCTAATATGATGACTACTGTTCTTGTTCTGTAGACATGATTCAATCAAGTTCTACCAAAATTCGAGTTGTTAAATGAGTAAACAAGAAGTTCTATATACGTAACTGGTATTTCAAGTGTCCCGCTTAAATAAACTTTTTTCTTTTTTTTATTTTTCCGGGGTCCTCTCAAATTCTCAACTCATTCTATGTCAAGGTTAGTCTTCACCACAGTAAGCAATCACTTCTAATACTCATAGACCTCTAAATCCTAAGCCGACATCTCAATCAACTGTTAAATATTATAGAACAAACCATCAATTTATCAATTAACACAAGCATATAGTAATTTAGTATCTTTGACCAAACACCAAACTCATAATCTTTCAGAGATATCAAACAAACTCTAACCTTGTTGGTCTGCAGTAGCTCTGGAAGGAAGTACAAACAATCGGGGTCGAAGACAAAAATGCCTTCCATTGAATGGTGCATTAGACTGAATCCTTGCAGATAACGGTAAAGAAACCAATACCGGCTTCTGTACAGGAGCAGTAAACACACGGTGAGGTACTAAATTAAAGGCCACCAATTTGCTAGCCATCATGAAAATATAAATCGATGATGACAAAACAAGAGATAAACAAACTTTTATCTCTTTGTAATGGTGCAAGTTTTAGGCGATAATAGAGTGAGTTGATGTTGATGATGGTTCATAGTCGTATGATATATATATATTTTTTTTTTTTTTTTGGCGTGTTGATGTTTGGAGGGAAAAAAGAGACAACTCAAACAGATAAGGTACTTGACAAGTGTGTGGAGGGAAATGCAACGGCTCTTTGTAAGATGGTTTTTTTAGATCTTAGAATTTAGAAAATCTGCCATGTCATCGATTCATCCCAGGATGTTTTTAATGTAGACATGTGGATGGTTTATATTGGCCTCGTGCTTGCACAAGGTTATCACCTGCGGAGAGTGGACCCTCTGCCTCTTCTTGGGTTTCATAAGTCTTTGTTTGGGCCTGCACTATACTTGCTTGGACTCAAGTGCTTTCAACTCCATGATTATAGCCCAATGTTTGTTTGTTTGTTTTTTCATTTTCTAAGCAATCCTTGACAGACACGGCGCCTTTTATTTATAAACAGTTCAAAAAATTCAGTCAACATTACCTTACTAATCATGCTATATGAGTTTAATTTTTCCTGATGTCAAGTCCCCAACCTCCTCCAGAAGAGCTTATTGTCCAAGCAATATAGTTTTAGAGCATTATTCTAATTGGCTTAACATCATCTTCTGTTACGACGTTAACATGCAATAAAAAATTAATTTTTCGGTTGGTGACTTGGTCAATTCCGTTGCCGTGATCTCCTATTTTGTAGTCTTTTGTTATCGTCGTAATTGGTGCCTAGGCGAAGGATAAGAGACTAATGTTTTATTTTTATGCAATTTGTTGTCTATTATGACTATATATACACCTGCAGTTTTCAATAAAAGAAACTTTAATCAATAAACCAAGTCAGTTGTCTGGGAAGCGTTGGTTCCTCATATAAGCCAACAAAACCTTTATTTGATTTTTTAAATTTTAAATTAGAATTTTTTTTCTAACAATTTGGTATCAGAACTGGGATGGAGCTACCAGAAAAAGTAGAGAAGCTTGAGAAGGAATTTGAATTGTTGGGGAATGGCTAATAGGGGTTGCTACGACATATAATAGAGAGCAGATGGAGAAAATTAACTAGCAGATTTTTTGGAAGACAACTCAAGAAGCAAGTGAGAAATCCACACAAAATTCAAACCAATTTGGAAGGAATGGCCCGCATGTAACACCTACGAAAGGGTTTGGTTCTTTCAGTAGTATTCTGCGTAAAACTTTGAAATTGGATTTTCCAAGGTTTGATGGGAAAGTTGTTCCAACAATTTGGATTTGGGAGGTTGAAAAGTATTTCACTCTCCATGAAATAAACGAGTCTGAAAAGGTTACTTTGTCTTCTTTTTATTTGAAAGGAGATGCAATGCTATGGTTCCAAACACTAGAACAAGAGCTCAAATATGTCACTTAATTGGGAAGATTTCAAGGGTAGGATTATAGCTTGATTGGGACGAAACCAATTTGAAGATCACTGTCAGAAGATGGCAAGCGAGGCAACTACGCTGCCGAAGTATGCCAAGAAAGAGAGAAAGAGAGCTTTGAGACAAATTATATATTTCACTTGTATGTTTTACATTGCACATAATGCTTCAATTTACAGAAAAGAATGCAATATGTAAGGAAATAACTAATTACATGATTTCAGGAGTAATAGAAAGATCCTATCAATCAAGGAGTAGAATATGATATTTGTCTTGTAATTGATCCCTATAATTGAGCTAAATCATAGCTGGTGTTAAATATCAATATTTTCACGTATCAACACTATCCTTTAAGTTGGAGGTTTATAAATGTCATAAACTTTGAGTTTGCTCAGGAGATGTGAATATTGTTTGTGACTTAGCAGTTTTGTGAAGATATCAGTGGGTTGATCTGTGGTTCAAATGTGTTTAGTTTTGATTATCCCTTCTTGTATCTTGTTTTTGATAAAGTGGTTGTCAATTTATATGTGTTTTGTCCTCTCATAGAATAATGGATTAGTTACGATGTCATTTGCTGCTTTGTTGTCATAGTATAATTTGATTCACTTCTCTATTTGAATATTTAGATCCTTTAATAATCCAAGGATCCACGTGATTTCAAATGTGGTTTTGACCATAACTCTGTATTCAACCTCTACTGATGAAAGAGATATTATTGATTGTTTTTTTGTCTTCCATAAGATCAATGATCCTTTGAGTTTAATGCAGAAACTAGTGAGAGATCTTCTAGCCATTGGACATGAACCCTACTTTGAATCACAATATGAAACTAATGGTACTCAAAATGTCATAACTTCCTTGTTTCAACTCCGATTTTCAAACCCTATATTTCCAATTGTCACAAATTTCCTTGCCGACATTATTTTTCATCCAAATATTATTTTTAAGCACCCATAAACTGAAAATAAACCAAACATACTTGTGATTTTGTAAAACATATTTATAAAAAAAATTAAGTAGAATTATACAAATTAAACCTAATTTCTCACCAATGATACCAATAAATAACTAAATATAAGTACATTTCTAAGCATTTATTAGTATATGTATTCTTTGTTATGACGCATAATGATGGTGTTGCAATAATGGTGTTATGACAACACAGTTACGACTAACGTTTGACGTAGTGGATCACATAGTTTTACGGGTACTACTACGCAAAAAAAATGTATTGTGACATGATTTCAACGTTGCAATAGGCCTTTTTTTAGTGTAGTGAAGTGAGGAATTTTAACTCTAATATAAATTTAAGGGTTAAAACTAGACCCACCCTAAGGTATGATATAACAACAAAAACCCCTTGAGGTTTATGAAAGATCAAAATCCCACTGTCATTAATGAATTATTAGTAAACTTTTAAAATTTACTCTACTATAAGTTTGTAAATATTACCATATTGTTCTATTGTCATTTATTTTAACACCTAAAACTTAATAATAGAGGGATTCCTTTTATTTTCAAAACCTTTACTGGATTTTTGTTATTTTATCATACCTCATGGGGATTAATCATTAACCCCTAAATTTAGTATATGATTAATAATATATTGAATTGTATGTAAGGGTCTTCATTACTATCTGTGGGAAGATGATGAACACTAAATGCAGCTGAACCTATTAATATGAACATACGTATAATAGAGAAAAAAATTACATTACGAGACTATATCATATTTAAATGATTAATACCTATTGATCTTTGGGTGATAACATTTCTAATGGTCCTAGACAATGAAAGGAGGCATTCTGTGCATAAATTGTTTAAATGAAATGATCGTAGCATAAAATCTCATGTGCATTTAAGAAGAAACTGTGTAGATTAGACACAAAACACCTATGACTTCTGAGGCTCTTTGCAATTTGCCTTCGGCCCAAACAAATAAATAATCCAAAGATAAATGAAAGTGAAACGGACCTGGTAGAGAACTTCCGGTTATAGAAGTCCTGCCACTTGAAAGATTAGGAAAAAATAAGGCCATGGTTTATTTATTGGAAACATTTGCATAATGATATTTAAAAAAATATAATCAACATGTTTAAAATCAAATCTCAACAACTATAACGATAACTTGTATAAACAATTTAATTGACTGAGCTCCCTAGATAACAGAAATAGCCAAGTCAAGAAAGCACTGTCGGTTACATGTTAGCGGGGATACTTATTTACAAAACCATTGAGTCATTCACATTTTTCTTCTTCAAGTAAGACCATAAAGGCAAGACGTATTGCTTGGAATTTTAAACCTCTTGATGTTAATTTTCAATTTGAGACATGCAATTTATAAGTAATACTACTCTACAATTAAAGTAGTTGTTAAAATTAATTTAACTGCTTAAGGAAAAGCTACGAAGAGTGTAGATACACCCACAGATTCCATTGTTGGCTGGCACACGTAGGAGTTAATAACTTTTCATCCTTGGGGTTTGACAAGGAAAATGTTATTAATTCCTCAAATTAAACTAATATCAAGACAACACCGCCACATCAATTAAAGAAACTATTATCTAGATTCTAGCCCACGGAATCCAACTTCTGGGCTGTTGTTACAATTAAGATACAAGAGTAGTTGTGTCTGGCCATTATTTCAAACAAGATTTTTGTAAGAAAAATTAGAAAATGACCTATGGAAACAATAAAATTAGATGATAAAGAAAGGATGAGAGGGTGGACAGGTCAGAGATAAATGCTGACTGAAAGTTGCAAACAGGACCGAACTCAAATTAAAACAATACAACTTTCACTTCTATAATGTCTTCATCAAATTATATGGCATTTAAATTTTGCACATATTAAATAAGGAACGCAAGGCCTCTCAATGAATTTGTGATGGTGGGCACCACCACGTCATCATCAACAATGCCCTTGATTTCACTAATTTACTAAAAGTCCCACACAAGGTTTGACAAAATGACACTTTCTCATCAATCAAATTTCAAAATAATACTTTTCCACCTTTCGTCGGGTTTTGTTAGTATTTTTTGTTAATATTTAACTAAAAAGACAAAAATACCCTTAAATATTTTATTTCTTAATTAGTTTATTATAAATTAAAATTTAGTTAAGTCAAAATCTTTACTTGATTATTTATTAGTTCAAGTGTAAAGATATCTTTTTTCCTTTGTTTATTTAATCAATTAGGAATATTTATTTTCTATGTTAATTAGTAAAAATAAAAAACTTTATATCATGAAAAACATTATAAATTTAGTAGATTATTGAATAATAGTGGATGAGGTATTGATGACATTATAAACAAATAAATAAATATTAAAGTCATTTAACTTTAAACAATTCTATAGCATTACTCTTAACTTTTTAGGTGGGGTTAACTATTTTTTCTTTTTTGGCTAATTAAAAAACAATAAAAAATTTATAAAGTCAAATATTTAAGTGTATTTTTATATTTTCAGTAAAATATTAACGGAAATCATAACAGAATCTAATGAATAGTGGGAAAGTGTCATTTTGAAACTTGAAGGGTGGGAAAGTGTCGTTTTGCCAAACCTGGGGTGAGAAAATGTTGTTATCCCTTCACAAAATCCCCATAAATTCATTCAAGAAACTACACTAATCATTTAGCTAAACTTCACAGCGACCTCATTTTTCTTGAATGC